CATCCAATCATGAGAGGACAAAGTCAACACCCATCCTGGAGACTCCTCCCCCCTCGCTATGGAGAAGCAGCACCAGCATTCAAAAGTGACCAAACGATCAGCCAGAAAGCATAGGAACTGAGAAGTGGTCTGTGGTCACCACCTGCAGAACCATTCCTTTATTGGGGATGTCTTGCTAACTGCCTATGCTTTCCATCTGTTGTCTATTTCATGTGCACAACAGCATGTGAAATTGATTGTCAATCAGTGTTGCTACCTAAGTGGACAGTTTGATTTCACAGAAGTGTGATTGACTTGGAGTTACATTGTGCTGTTTAAGTGTTCCCTGTATTTTTTGAGCAGTGTAGTTCATAAACATAACGACCATAACACTTATTTTTAATCAATGCAAACTTTCCAATTTTTGAAGACTGTAACATTCAAATTTACACTTGCCAAAGTCCAAGCCAGGATTTTTGGAAGTTAATTAAAGAAACAAATAAGTAGTGAAAATATTACTGAATATTTTAAACAGGTTATAAATAGAATAGAAAAGGATACAGGATAACTCATACTCATGTTTATTGTGAATATTTGAGTCCTACTCCTCTGCATACCATTACTTTAAAAATTCACTATAATTATGCACATATAAGTGTAATCTTACTTTTAAATGGCTGAATATTTTATTAAACATAGCAATATACCAGTTTCCTGCTATTTTTAATTACAGTACATGCTTATTTGTTTGCTGGTTTGCTGTAAATAAGTTTCTTCTTTATGTACATTGTAATAAAATATTTTGCTTTCTTTACTATGAAATTGGTAATCTGAATTTTCATTTTATTTCGGCCATTAGCACAGCAAAAGTATATTTGATAGGATGATTTCATCACAAATATAAGGCATATTTTAATGTGCTTAACTGTTTCTTTTCTTTTCTTATTATTTCCATATTTCTCTAAGTAGTCTAATCTAATAGCAAGAGGAACATGCCCGAAAGCAGTTCAATCATAAACAACAATCCATTCAGGATTTTGGAAACGCTACTGCTCAAACCAGATAAGTGTTTCTTGTTCAAAAATGGCAATTTATTTTATTCCATCTTCATAATTCTTATTTTTCATTCAGAACACTCAAAACAGCTTCTTTGAGACCAAAATATTATGTACATCTCTAGCTTGGAATCTCTTGGATTTCACAAAGCTCCTCAATGTCAAAAGGTCCTCTGAGAAACAGATGGAAAATACATCCTCAACCAGAATGGGATATCTTGCCATGGCCAATTCACCATGGGCCAACTTGCAGAACAATTTAACAATTCAATGTAATTATTTAAAATAAATAAACATTATGTTAATTTTTGTCATACTGTCCCTCCTTTTGCATCCTTTCTTTAATTATACTATTCCACCATTTCTTTGATATTAGTGTAACTCTTATCCCGCAGAGTTGTCCCATGACGTGTTAGCCATGGCAAGTTGTCCCACAGTAAGTTGTGTGACAAGTTGGCTATGGTGAGTTAACTGTAGTGAGTTAGCCAAGAGTTGGCCACAGCAAATTGTCATAGACCCTCTCAACTACTATCAGGAAAGCTCAGTTATCAGTAGTGCCCAATATTATCCATCCATCAGAAGAGTGGAATCTGCTAAGAGAACGGATTCTCTTTCCTTTTCAAAAAATAATCTAGTGGTTTGGAAATTTAGCAGAGCATATCTGAGCAAACAAGGTAGGTAGGAAAGGAAACTCTCTACAAAAGCAAAAATGCACATACTCCAGAAGTAGCCCTATACTTTCAAATGGTTGTGATACTGAATTTTATTATATACAGAATACTGATTACAAAGCATGATCACAGTGATAAAAGAAATAGGTTTACCTAGCATGTTGGTTAATTTTTCTTAATTTGAGATAAATGTAGCAATATGGGAATGAGTTTTGGTGGTGTAAGTCCATAAAATCTTGATCCAGATGGTCTGCACTTCATATTTATTCTTCACATGCAGTCATATTTCATTTGGTTTCCTCTGGAACATACCAGATATATCCTCACAATTTAATGTTGAGACTTGTAGAATCACTTCATGCACTGCTGATTGCTTTTAAATCTATGTCAGCTTCATAACATATTTTCTTTTATGCCTACATGTTAGGTCATCTTGCTATGAATTGTTGGTAGTTCTACAAAACAGTGTTGATCATCATTTCAAACTAGCCACTCATTCTTAATTTGAAATGCATAAAAAGGCCATGAGATATACTTTTAATATATGAAGAGAACCAATGTTACTGAGATAAAAAGTTGGAAATATGATTGATACTGCACAAAACCTTAAAGCAAATATTTATGTCCCGGTACTAGTAGTCCTCAATGTATGACCACAGTTGAGCCCGCTTGAGTGAATCTGGCTTTTTCATTGACTTTGCTTGTCAGAAGATTGCAAAAAGTGATCACAAAGGGTTATTATATCATTATTTCACAATTTTATCTACTCTAGGTAACCCTAAACTTACAACCATTCATTTAGTGACCATTTGAAATTACACTCAGACTACAAAGAGTTACTTTTGACCATTTTTCATACTTACAACTGTTGCAATATCCTCAAGTTCGGCTGCTTGGTTCATACTTATGATGGTTGCAGTGTCCTGGGATCATGTGGTCACCTTTTGCAACTTTCTGACAAGCAAAGTCAATGAGAAAATCCATGTTCACTTAATCATATTAGTAACTTAACAACTGCAATGATTCACTTAACAAACGTGGTAAGAAAGGTTGTAAAATGTGGTAAAAGTCACTTAATAAATATTTCAGCAACATACATTTTGGGCCCAATTGTAGTCATACGTTAACGACTATGTGTACAATGGTTATCTAAACTGTATTACCTATCTTCCAATTAGCAATACAGCACTGGGGATTGAAAGGGACACTGTGGCTCGATGGCTAAGACGCTGAGCTTGTTGATCAGAAAGGTCAGCAGTTCAGCGGTTCGAATCCCTAGCGCCGCATAACGGAGTGAGCTCTCATTA